ATGGCGGTTTTCACGCGAGCTCCTGTACTAGCTCCATCCCGGAAAAATGCATTGCACTTCGCCGCTGCATGTGGTGTATGTGATATGCACTTATACGGCCGGCTCGAGAGACACGTGGGCACGCTACATACACTTTTTTTATTTCCCTCCTGTCTCCACACCCTGTTCTCTCTTCTCCAATCCTGTCGATGTATGTACAACGGGTGACACTATAATAGCAATTTAGAAAATTTTCATTTAAAAACGTCATTCTTCTCTAAGGCAGACTATAAAGTCATTTGCTTATTGCTATTTAACCTTTGGAAAGTGTACACTGACACACTAATAATGTTAATTTACTTTCAATATTACTTTCTAACGTAAAAATATTAATGACCCAATATTAATTATTGTCAGTGATTTTTAGCCAGCTATATTGATTCCTGGCAGTTTTGACTGATAGCAATGATTACGATTTCAAGAGGTTTAGTAATATTCTTAATATTCATTGATGACCTTTTATCTCTGTTCAGATACGTGGGTTTCTGATTAATCGTGAACAGATTATGTGCGTGAGAAAATTTCGGTTGTGTAATTGCGTGTTCAATTTTTGAAATGCATGATTTTGTAAAGGCGTAAGCGTGGTAGTGAGTAGGTGAAGCTTCTCCTCTTTCCATACAGGAAATATTGCTAAACGTCCTTGGAATGCTGGGAAAGTGATCGTTCAACGATCCAGACTTTTACTGATGATTCGAATCATTTTTTCATATAGTTCTAGCACACCAGGACATCGCCTTTTTTAGTATCGTAACCAGTTTCTCGAATATTTGTATTTTTTGTCATTAGGAGAAAGCTTTGAAATTTCTGTGCAGTTACACAACTTAATTGTTGCATTTGAAATTGATTCAAATAAACATCATGTTACACACAATAGCCCAAAGGAAACGTAAATGCAAATATTTAACAGGTGCACGAATGTCTTATTCACTGAATTAACGAACCGATGACCTTATTTGGTACCTCTACCCTGAAGCAGATGCACACGATGATTATTTTAATTTTAATTTGTTCCAGGCTATCGCGATGCGTCTCTTTAAACGGCAATCCTGTGATACCAGCCCTCAACTAGTTTCGGCTACTCCGTTATCTCAGGATGGAAGTGTGCCTCTGACAGTAGTAGACGAAAATTATGATAATAAAAGTGAGAAGATATCTCAGAATGAAAAGGACGAATCGAAAAATTCCATAAAAGAAAATACTTGTAATAATGAAAAATCTTTGTCGTCGCAGTCTTCTGTCTCCAATCGTAAAGGTGCAAATTGGGGACAATTAAAAAGAATTTCATTTTGAAATAGAATTGCATTTAAAAATTTGACGTTCGTTATAGGAATTTCAACATGGGGCAGGAAAGTGGGTCGAAGATGGGATCAGCTGAAGAGATCAGATAGCTCCGAATTGCTTTCGGTTTCCGGCCGAAGCCGAAGATGGAGTCCGAACCGGAAGGGTGCCACAGACGAAAAAGAAAATGTAAATGTCCTGACTAATATTAGTAACACTTGGCGTTGTTAATATTCAGCAGCGAAAATTTAATAAATGTACCATTTTCAGAGCGCCATTGGGTGGCCAGAGCTACCAAGACCAAAGAGAATTTCCAGGGTGGAATCGTTAAGAAATCTCTTCAGAAGCAGCGAAAGAAATAGCAGTTTTCTAAGCAATGACGTATCAACGAGGAACGTGACTATTCAAGAAGAGGACGTCACTTGTATCAGTCATTATCCGATGGAAAAGGCCCTAAGCGAAGGTGCAATCAAAAATGTCCCCTTTAGAATCAGTCTGGATGACAGTAGACTGAATCGTGGGACTCTTCTTCACAAGAAGAAGAAGCAGCTCAGTCGCAGTATACAGGACCTCCAGGAACAGCAAAGAGTTCTTGATTATATCTTGAAGAATCAAAATATGCTGAAGACTCAGGAGGGAACCACTTTCGCTAAAGAGACTTTAAACAAAGTTAGAAGAAGTACTAGTCCCAAGAGAAGAAGCAATGAGTCCACTTCTGATGGAAGTAAGACCAGGGATTTCTTCAGCAACCAACTCAGTAACATCAAGAGGAATTTGTTTAGTGCTCGTTCAAGTGGTAGCGAATGCGACAGGTGAGTCAATTATTTCATAATTAAAAATTGAGAAATTAACGAGATTGATTTCCAGACCATACACAACTACTGGTTTGGAAGACCTACTGAACAACCTGCGATTAGGCTGCGACGAGAGTGGTTATGATTCTGATAGCACCCGAGCTGGAGCCGACTCTCCAGACAGTGAAAACTCAGTGCCGGCCATGTTGAAACCCCGTAGCTTCTCTATAACCTCGGACGACTACCATGGGGTCGATTTATCCCTACCAGTTAGTACCCCAAAGAAAAGAGAAGAGAGCGAGCCAGGACCTTCCTGTCTAGAGGACACAGTAGTCATCACTAAGAACATTCTCAACGAATCCATACAAACGAACACCACGGCCTTGATGTCAGAAGCTGAAGACACAGACAGCTGTGATGAGGATACCTTCGAAGGATTTACGGAGTTCCAGGCTAGTTGCGCATCTCTGCAAGCGGACACCTTGAAGAAATGTGAGAAAACCCTGTCCCAAGCTTCGAATGAGTCAAGAATACCTACTTCTTCTGGGAACAGCGAACTCAGGTTATCCGGGAAGAGGTCTTTCGCTAAAACCCAGCAGACAGTGCCACTCTCTCAAGCAGTGAAACTTCAGAACCTGCAGAAAGAAAGAACATCTCAGATTCCTCTGAAATCTAGAAAGCATACGCATTCTAGCACGTTGAATCTCCTCGATAATGCTGCTTCTCCTTGCAAGGACAGCCCCCCAGCTACGAAGATCAACTCCACCATTGTTAATAGTCCTGTGCAGTACTATAGTCCAAAGAGAACCAGGTCGAGCATCGATCCCGATGATTCTGACGTGATCAGCAACAGGAACAAGATGAAGAAGTCCATGAATCCTCCTGAAACACCTGCGAAGACCTTGGTGCGTAGGGAACTGAAAACGATGAAGCTGACAGTGGAGAAACCAGGTAGCTTAGGTATCTCTGTGGAGAGAAGAGAGGCTGTTAGACCCTTCTACGTGATCTCGAAGATGAACGTCAATGGAGAGGCAGCTAAATCAAAGCAGTTTCGTATTGGGGATGAAATTGTCCGGGTCTGTGGACGTAGGCTACGTGGGATGTCTGCTGTAGAGGCGAGGAATGCTCTAAGAAGTTGTGTAGGTGTCGTTGAGCTGCAGATAGCTAGGGAACCGACGTTCGTCTTTGGGGAAATGTTTGGCGACACCTGGGGAGACATCCTGGTCCGCACTAGAAGCGACTCCGCGGTGTGGACCTTGAAACAGAACGTCCCTGATCTCAAACGAGAGGATCCCAGCAAGACAATAAAGAATAAAACAAATCTGTCTATCAGTATGGATCATGGGAACATGAAGAAAGATAGTGACCGGGAGATGACTGGCATGAAAAAATTTTACGTAAGAAAACCACCTACGACCTTAGTTTGTCCTCGAAGAGCGACCAGTTTGTCGATGGATTTGCTAACCATCATTTTGGAGAAGGGTGCCTCGAAGAAGTTAGGCTTCTCCATTGTGGGTGGCTCGGATAGTACCAAAGGTTCAATGGGTATCTTCGTGAAGGACATCATGGCTGGCGGCCAAGCTGCCGAAGAGGGAACTCTAAAAGTTGGAGATGAAATTCTGGCGATCAATGGGATATCCATGGATGGATTGACCCATGCCAAGGCGCTGCAGACGTTCAAGGCTGCCAAGGCTGGGAAAATGGTCCTCCATGTAGGCAGGAGAGACCCAACGCATAAACGGTTGGGTTACAGGAGATAGATTTATCACTGTAACTTTGGGTTAGTTCCGGTGCTTTGCTTTATTAACCCTTCACGCGATATCACGTGATTGATCCTACACCGCTTGCTTTTGGGGATTTGGTGCTTTCCTGAATGACCATTTTAATGATTTCTTTTTTTTAATATTATTATTTTGTTACAGGTACATTATTCTATCGAAATCGTACGATTGTCTGGACAAACTAACAGAGACTGGAGACGAATGAAGAAAAGAAATAAATGAAATCAATCAGTCATTAAAATTATTCTTGCCAGAAGCTAAGGTGCATATATTTTTCACGTTGTTACGATTTACATTTATGTTAATTATTTACCAGCATTTCACAAATGTACATTCCTTTTTCGTTTAGTGATACGTAATCAACGTGTAACATTTCTGCGAGATTGATTTAGATTTATGTTAATTAAGGCAATTATTGTGATATCGGTTAACTATTTTTACCAGAAAGTGTACTATATTTCTTTAGTTCTCTGAAATTTAATTTAAAAATTTATGTCCTGGATGTATTGGTCGGTCAAATTATTATTAATTGATATACGTGATTAGCATCGTGTTTCGTGTAAATTTCAATTTTTATTTAAAGGACTCGTTTGTTTCAACGTATCGTAAAAAATTAATAATCGTAACATAGTCATATCCCGTTAGATGTAGAACGCTAACAAGTAGGATTATGGCTATTTAATTAAAAATAGTTCGGATTTAACAAATGTTTCGTGGTCGAAATATATTTTTGTTTAAGTACGAACTACAGAATTGATTAACTGAGATATACTCACTACTCAATTTAATTGTAAGCCTAGTGTTTAGTTGATTAATACTTTTAAGCTACTGAGACTGACATCCAGAATGTCTACCTGAGAAATGCTGTGATATTCATTGTAGTCGCATTAGCTGGTATCGTACAAAATGTATGTAAAATAAATTTGGTTTGTTAATAAACGTACATACATGGTTAATGTACTCTGTAAACTAACTGTAAAATTTATTTAATTAACATTGCTGTCAAATTTTAATTAAACTTAATATGAATATTGTCAGAATTACAGATATTTTTTTGCAATATACATTTATAAGGTCACAACAAATTAACTACATAGTAAAGCGGTATTTAACCTGATGGTGGAAGGTAACCAGGTTGGGGAACGGGGGCAGGGACAGGAGCAGGAGCAAGAACTGGGGCCGGAGCAGGGGCAGGGGCAGGAGCGGGAGGAAGATAACGCGGTCCAGGTCGAGCAACATAAGTTGGAGAAGGTGCTGGAGCAGGATAATTCGGTGCAGGAGCAGGATAACTAGGCGCAGGAGCGGGGTAACTAGGCGCAGGAGCTGGATAACTAGGCGCAGGAGCTGGGTAACTAGGCGCAGGAGCTGGATAACTAGGCGCAGGAGCTGGGTAACTAGGCGCAGGAGCTGGATAACTGGGCGCTGGAGCCGGATAACTAGGCGCCGGTGGAGGTGCAGGATAACTTATCCTAGTAGGTGGAGAATAATTATAATTAACAGCAGATGATTGTCTAGAAGTTGGATAACTGGCAACAGCAGGAGCTGGAGCTGAATAACCATACGTCGAAGCATATGCTGAAGAACTGCTATCAGCAATTGCATTCACTCCAGATGTACCAGGTGACGTGACTGGTCCTATTATTTTTACCGCATTTGCTGATGCTGTTGCAGATGCTGATGCAGAACTGGCTGCTTGCTGAGTGCCTTGGCCATAGGGTGGCAAGTAGGTTGGTGCTGGCGTTGAAACTCTTGGTGGTGGTTGAGGGGGTGCTGGAGGTAAATATGTAGGTGGTGGTGGTGGCGGTGGTGGCGGAGGCGGAGGCGGAGGCGGAGGAGGAGGAGGAGGAGGAGGAGGAGGAGGAGGAGGAGGAGGAGGAGGAGGAGGAGGAGGTGGTGGTGGCGGCGGCGGCGGCGGCGGTGGCGGTGGAGGCGGAGGAGGAGGTGGAGGTGGAGGCGGAGGAGGAGGTGGAGGCGGTGGTGGAGGAGCTGGAGGTAGATAGACAGGCGGTGGTGGCGGTGGTGGCGGCGGAGGGGGAGGAGGAGGAGGCGGTGGTGGTGGTGGTGGTGGAGGGGGAGGAGGAGGAGGCGGTGGTGGTGGAGGTGGTGGAGGAGGAGGAGGAGGTGGTGGTGGCGGTGGTCTAGGAGGACCATAAGTTGGTGGAGGAGGAGGAGGAGGAGGAGGAGGTGGTGGTGGCGGTGGTCTAGGAGGACCATAAGTTGGTGGTGGAGCCGGAGCAGGATACCCATAATTAGGTGCTGGTGGGCCTGGTAACGTGAATGGTACTTTCGGTACGTTGTAGCTGTACCCTGCCTGCCGGACGGTCCGCAGCGTTTGCCCAGCGGCACAGACAATTACTAGCAGTATCCTCAGCTGTATATATAACACAATTAATTAATATTTAACAATCAAAAAATTCAAACAAAGCTACGTACCCATTTCAATGGCTGCATAATCAGCTTGCGTATGCAAGGAAAGAAAACGACAACGCCTTTTATATGAACACCTCCCATTACCTGTCTAGCGTTTAGCGTATTTCACGAAACCGCATGTTTCATAATAATTCGTCAAATAGACCTGCTGTCCCGCGAGTCGGCATTAAATTATTTGTGTCCTAGTTGCACCCAGAGCTATTAAACCCGTGATGATTATATTATTTCAGTAGGATGGTTTTTGTCATTAGGCAACGACGGAAGAAGAAATTATGTTTGTTACATCTTTTACCTAATTGGTCGCAATGTTGACATAATCATGCAGTTTTTGGAACTCGTCCATGGTGGACTGAATTTTTACAAAATCTCTGATTATAAACCCTAATCGAGAAAGATAGAGGATGAAACCTTGAATAACTCATTAGGCATCCCTCTATCGAGTCATACTTACTTGCATATATTGATTCACAAGGAAATCTTAGTTTCCCTAGAGCATAATTGCCAAAGCAGATTGTTAGAGCCTACGAACCAAAGTAACATCCGCGTTTCTGAATGCAACGCAAGTTCACGTTGCTCCATCAATCATTTCGTCTTATGAATCATTGCACCCGTAGAATTGCATCGTGCTCAGAGTGCATATCCTAAGATATGCAGAAACGCAGCGAGTGGATCGGCAGTGATTTTCGAAACGAAACAATCCGGTACGATTAAACGGCAAGTTTAATTTCGTTTTGCAATGGCGGGCCGATCCGAAACGGCGCGACAAATTGGAATGCAGGCGCACTTTCGCTGAACACCGACGATGGGGCTCGTTAATCTTCTTGTGCAAACTTATCGGCCGACAGGTGGGTTAATGCGATTTTTATTCCCGAACCTGTTATTCGCATGATTAATCGCGGATGAGAGGTCGGTAATTATAAGTTTTCCTCGTCCTCTTGTTCCTTGCTTTTCGCCGTGACGATGCTCCGAGTCGTCGCGCGATAATTACATTTACCCTAACGCCGGCTTCAATTTGAACCCCTCGCTAGACCTATGCATGCATAGAATATTAGACGAGCCTCTAATTGACCTCGTGAATCTGCCCGACCGTCGATTCACCGTCCGAGTCCGATTGATCGAAGGGGTTCTTTGGTCCTCTTTCCTGGTCCACGGGTCTCGTAAACCTCCATTACGATCGAAGATACCGAGAAACGACGATTGCCGTCGACGTGTCATGAACTCGAATGTTCCCGGGTAGAAAATGTACGCTCCGCCGGGCTCGACTTTAACGTGGAAGGCTCGTGAAGATATCAAAGTGTGTTTCAGACGTGCAGTTACGCGCAGTTAAACGAAGGTTTATGGATAAACCTGGTTGAATATTAACTCGATCTTTCGCCAGCAAAGATTTCTTTTTCTTCCCTGCCAACGACCGTGGGTCCATCGGTGCAACATTGCGCGTGTTATTACTGTACCCCGGGACACTCTTCGTCTGATTTCATTCTTCCACCTGGCTAAAATATCATTGTTTTTCAAATTAATTACACCTTAAAGTCGAAAGTGCTAGAACACGTGTAGAATTTTATCGATCGTACGGACAGCAATTTCGAAATAAAAATTAATTTCTTCGTATCTCTCAATTTACTGCCATCATAATCCTCAAGCGTCCGTTAAAGTGTTCATAACATTCTTAGTAAAATCGTGTTGGCCATCTGGCATGCAACCGGTCGGCAGCAAGTGCCACGCATTATCGTCCTTGCGATAGTAATTGTTGCAGAACTTCTCCGTTCCCTTTCTTCGCGGAAATCCACCGCCTCTTCCCTCCTCGCGAGTTCCTTCGCCTTTGGGCACACATACTTCCGTCCTTTCCATTTCCTATGGCTCGTCGAAAAAGAAGAAACAGGAAAGAATCATTATACGATTATGCTGATTATACGTGTCATAGCGATCCTCCAGGGAAGGACTGCAGCTCCTACAGGAACACTGGCTAGGTCGTTGGGGTAAGAAAAGAAGGAACGTCAAGTTTTTGCGACACAACTAGCAGCCAACGATGCGGGCGAACGTACCTCTCTAGAAGCAGGACTTTATCCTTCGAAGAAATGGATCAGTACGATCGAGTCGTTCTATTGTAAATAGAGAAAACAGTCAACTATCCGACGTGTATTAAGCCGTAAATTATGATAAAAAAGAAGGTTTATAAACAAGTATATGTGACACGATGATCATTGGAAAGAGGTACGCGTGGGTCGTGTGCCCGTAATATGTGTATACCTGGCCTGTCATTTTTATAACCACGGAAAGGATGCTTTTATCGCTCGTTCCCGGACGACGCGATAAATCAACGCCTCTCTAATGCAGGTAAAACTTCCGGAAAAACTCGCCTAATTAACCGGTTATATCGTTAATGACATTATTCAAATATTATTACCAGAAAAAGGAGAGAAACTGATAACTAATAATTGCTTTTAGGAACACACCCGTAATTTATTGCAACGGATAAGTGCAGTAGGTAAATTTGTTCCGTGTAAATTTTTAATTAAATTTCGGCCACACGTGGAACAATTATTTCTCTACACTTGGGTACGTTTGTTTAGGTCGTTTGAAGAACGAGTGTCTTCGAGTGCTGAACCACGTCAGAAGTTGTTGAAATGCACGATTCTAAGTGCAATATTTCTGGACATACGCCAGAGAACGTTTGAACCTCCAAGAGACCAATTTGGCATTGTCATAAACAAGCACGAAAAGGTCCTTTCAAGTGGTGGCTGGTTGGACTAATTTCAATGTCAAGGAAAGCATGTATATTTCTACCCTTATTTTCAAAAACTCTTAGAATTGTTTTTTTTTCTTTTTTTTTTTTTATCAAGTAATAAAGTCATCGCGGTTCAAGTTATAGGGGACTTTCTACAAAGCGGGGCACGTTCTTTGTCGTCCCATAGAAAAGAACGGTGTCGTTGAATACACACGAGAGGTTGGTCATTAAAATTCCGTGCACCGATCCGTAAAAAAATCGACGTGCATTTGTCTGGTCGAAGAAACGGGAAAAGGAAGAAAGGGCGAGTCGAGGTCGTCGTGGACAGATCGAAGCATCGTGTTGTTTAACAATCGAAGAATGGGCCTGCCACTTGAAAAACAGCTGTAACGACTCGTGGACGGGTTTAATATGCGTTCAAAGTGGCTTGAAAAAGGGAAAAGGGAGAAAAGAAACAGTAACAGTACAGTTAGAAGATCTTTCGACGTCTTCTTTTTTCAGGTACTGTTACGTATGTCCTCTTTTAGTTTTTAATAAAACTTTAGGGTTTTAAATTAAAAAATTAAAAGTTTCAGGCGTGAAAACTTGAAGAATCAATGATTGAGAGTCCAAAGCTTCAGGATCGAAAGTTCGAAATGTCACGTGGTAAGGTATAGGGAAAATCTTTTATCAGTATATGAAAGAAGAAACACGTTTCTTCAAACAATGAACATGTCGCCGTGGTTCGTTCCACACGGTTTGTCTTGCCACACCGCGACACGTTCAATAACCTTCTGTCTGGTGAAAACTGAAAAACGGTCGCTCTACAAGCCACGTGGTTGTTGTCCCAGCAGAAAAGAATTACGACCGCAATCGTACGGCATTTTACGGCCGACCGTAAGACGTTTATGAATTACCAGACTGAGGAGGAATCTTTGAAAACAAAGACAAGTTTCAAATTGAATGTGACACATTTAAAAATCATAGATTATCTTTTTTTCTTCTTATTCTAAATGAAGTCGAAATGGTCCGGAGGGAAAATGATTGTCGTTTAAGAGGGGCAATATCTTTCTTTCAGCGACCCCTTTTGTCCGTCGATTGGCAACGAACGAGGGAGGCTGGTCGGTGATTATGAAAACTGGCTGGGTGGGGTCGTCATTAATCAATGAATGCACGCCACGGGCCAATTAACGAGAGCGAAGAGGAATGAGTAAACACGTGCCATTAAGTTTCATGATGCGAAATGGCACACGAAGAGGTGATCTTCAAGGTACGTATTAAGGGGTCATTCGTGTAATCACGCCGAAAAATTCAGGCGATATTTAAGATCATTTTTTTTTTTGAGCTTGATGGTGCACGAGCCCGATAATGGTGGCTCGAAACACTGATATTTTCTTAAAATATACATTTTTGCGTTTAATTAGCTTTTAATGATATAAGAATTCAGTGCTGTATTAAATACCTCTTTTAATTGTTTTAATGCTTCCTGTTGGAAAATGACGATTCCATCGAATCAAAAGTGTATATTACACAATTAAAGGGTGTTTCAGTTTTAATGGCAGTAAACGATGTTAATCAACGCGCGTCCGTGTTCTTTCATAATACTTGTCCTAAAAAGATATCTTTTCTTATCGGCTGCTAGAATCTTAATCGTGTCGTGAAAAATGATAAAAGGTCTACGGACTTAAAAGTGCTATTTAAAAGAGTACTTTGGAAGGTATAGACGTGCTTGCATAATAGGTTTATCGACCTTTTATAAATCGATACAGTCAGGTTATAAGAAATGAAGTAAGGTCAGTCTAATAATAGTGAAGTTTTGCTATTCGTAAAATGATTTAAACATTTGCTGCAGGTGATCGGGTGTTTTTAATTCTTTTCACTTTCCTTCGAGTTCCTCTATTCAGAATTTCATTTTAAATTCAGGGGTTTCCAATTTATTATGCATGCAGGAATTTTAAGAAACTGAAGATGAATATTGCATAGTAATTAAACACCTATATTGAATTTAAAATATTTTCAATGTTCTTATGTTACTATAATATTGTTTTTATTTTGCCCGTTTAAATAATTATAAAATATTAAACTGAAACATTAATATATATATATTAATATATTGCTACAAGGCGATATAACACTGATTTAATTTGAAACAGCACATGAAATAATAATTTCCTAGAAAAATGATAAGTGTTTAAATCAAATCAAACATTCCTATCGGCGCGCGCCATTTGAGCGCGACGCGCATGCGTGCGCATCCATATATAAGAAAGAGCCACGCATGCGCGCACAGTAGTTCCGAATGGAAAAGCTCGCGGGA